AGTTTAATGTCAGAACTGTTCAGTCTGGGTCTCCAGCTGTTACACTGACTGATGCTAACCTGCATATGTTGGAAAATTAGCATCGTTAGCATCAATAATCAGCTATATGGACGATATCTCAGCAGCTGATTGGCTGATTGGGACAATAAAGGAGGTTTTGGGTTTATTCAGAACTGCTGAATCCATTTCTGACATTTTCTAAATACAAAATGTTTAAACAGGAACTGGAAATATTTCCGCTTCCAGCAGCTGATTAGGATTCATTCTGAGGTTATTGATATGATTGATACATTGGATCTGCATTTTATGATCAATAAAGTTCAGCATCAGACATAATATTTCTTCAGTTCTGTTGGTGTTTTTTTGCTGCGAAGCATTTTGTTTTTTGTCTTTGCTGCTGTAGTTATGTACTAATCATATAAATAATAAGAATAAGGAGAGTTTTATTTTGTTTCTGTCCACTTTGAGTGTGTTTTATAATTATCTGCCAGGTAAAACGATTGGCTCTGTCAGTGGAGTCTGGTTGCTCTGTCCATTGTTTTGCTCTAATATTTTGGTGCTAGTAGTAGTGAATTTTATATATAACCTTTAACTCCAGCTACAGCTGCTGTCAACCACAAGAAGCCACTAAAAGTGAGAAGCCTGCTAACAGAGACATTTGAAGCTAACGTTAAGAATATTTTATCGACCTGGAAGCAGCCTCAGCTCTGTCGATAAGAGAATATGTGATTACATGTTGTATGTTACACTGTGGTTTAGCAGCAGTTAGCGTTGGGACTATTGGTTGACCAACAGAAAACCAGCTGCTGACTGGCTGGTTAGCCGACAACCTACATTTTGTACATGAGACAGATATGTTGAATTTGTCCTCTGTTGATGGAGACAAGCTGGCACTTTCCCTCCTGCTCACCCAGCAACACGGCCGGCGCTCGCCCTGGGTCTGAATATTCTGGATGTGACTCAGCTGAGCGGGATTCACGCTCAACAACTGGCAGCCAAATGTAGAGCTGGAGCCAATATTAGCAGCAGGGTATCAGGTGACAGCGGGCCGGGCTGCACACCACAGATCATGGGTTCAAACTGTTGACGCAAGCGAAGACAGAACTTCTTTTGGCTCAGAGTGAATTTCACACAGTGCCGTAAACACATTAGTGCTCCAAAAGTTTAAAACAAGATCACAACCCGAATAAAGAAACACACACTGTTACGGAGAATACACACAGAGGGAGTCCCAGACTGCAGCAGCAAAATCATCATCACCCTTTAAAGCCAACAACGGCTGATAGAGCAGAACCAGCAGAACCAGCAGCTTACTCAGCATCCTCCACTCCAGTCTGTATTTGTTGGCCTGCAGCAGGGGACAAAATCCACTCAGTAAACTGACAAATCTCTATCGACTATCGATTAAAGGCAATAAAAGCCCATAAAATATAGATCTTTTAAAAAGAACACAGAGGGAGCAGGTCCATGTTGGACAAAGCAAACACTGGATCTAGATATGGACGTTGAACCAGAATCTCCGTTGCTGTGTGACTTCCTGTCAGCGCTCTGTGCCACTGTGGCTCAGCTTCTGTCAGATATAGAGCAGCTGTGTATTGATGCTTCTGAGAGCACCGCAACCGTGCCCCCTTGGAATCTGGGCTTAATATTTCAGTACTGTGAGATCACACAGACACACACCACTTCAGAAACACTGCGGCAAAGAGCGACAGGGAAAAAACAGCTGTTGCGCCTGTGGAGTGCAGCTGCATGAGCAACCAGGCAATCAGATATTATCACAGCAAAAACAAGGTGGACATATTTACAAGAAATGGCTTCAAAACAGGAAGGAAGTAGTAAAGTAGTAAAGATATCTTGCTGGACCGAACTGTGACACTGACGAGTGGTGAGAGTTCAAACATTTTAACTTTTAGGAAACAAGAGAGGAGCCCACAGCGGGCGTACCACAGGAAACAGTACGTCTACTTCAGTCCACATTCAGGACTGTTGACCCTGTCCCTCTGTAACGGTGGAGCAGCACAAAGTATTTCAATGTGTTAAAAACTCTATCCATCAAAAGTACTGAAATTACCAAATATATACAACAGATCCACAGTCAGAGGTCCTCAATGGTATATAGTGATAATTAATATTAACAGCAGCACTGTGTGCAGGTTGTTGACACGAAGATAAAATCTATGAGCCTGTAGGACTTTTTCTTTTTGCCGTGGCTGCAAAAGATGAATCCAATATATTTTATTTTATATTGTATCAAAAACTGGATGTTGAAGGGTTAGACGTCAGTGTGTGTGTGTGTGTGTGTGTGTGTGTGTGTGTTTTAAATGCAGCCACTTTAGTGACACAAATCTGCTCTGTGATGTAAAAACATGTGAAATAAGGGTCAACTGCAACTCACACAAAATGTTAATCCAGCTGTAGAATCACACAGTATATACATGTGAGGATTATGGTTCTAAGACTGCAGCTTTGCCTTGATTTAAAGAGGGTGAGGAGGGGTGAGGGAGGGTGAGGAGGGGTGAGGAGGAGGCACATGAAAGCACTTTGAGTGAGGTTCCCATGGGAGACTCAAAGAGGCCACCCACTCTGAGGCCCTGCTGAATAATAACGTCATTATCCTCCACACACCAGACTCCTGTGATAAAACACACCATTTAATGTCACTGAAGGAACAAACAGAAAAAGCTTCATTTCCAACACCAACAGACAAATATAAAGAGGTCAGAGGTCAAACCAGTGGATTTAAAGCTCCTTCCTCAGACAGAGCAGAGACTGGGTTTAAAGCTGACAGTCCTGATTTCAACAGGAACTAATAGAAGACAGACAGGAAGTAAAAGGTCCCGGCCCCAGCAGGTAAACACAGTGATACTCTATTACTGAGGAGAGACAAACCTGATCCACGTCTCCAATCACACTGAATATTCCTCACACACAGAATATCAGTAACACTATGTTACACCTGGACACACCTGTCTTCTAACGTGTCCACTGTTACCTGCAGTTTATTTACAGCTGCCTACAGTCCAACCCTGAAGTTAGCAGCGTCCTGGTTCCTTCCACAAACAGTCAATGAGATTGCTCCACAACTGTGATCTATAAACAAACTACACCACGGTCACATGACCTCTCCACCAGTAAACCTCCAACGGATTCAATAAAAGAACAGAGTTTGAGTATAAACATCGAGGCTGTGAGGAACAGAGAGTAGATCAGTCTGTGGGCTGCAGCCTCACATCACTCTTGGCTAGTAGAAAGCTGCCGTTAGCTTTGTACCGGTAGCATCATTTATTGTTGGCTAAAATCAACACTGATTGTCGAAATACATAAGTTATTATCATGGATCACGTTAGCTGGGGAAGCTAACATTAGCCAACTAACATCCACTCAGATAGTATTTTGCTAGCAATAACGTTGGCCACTAAGCAAGCTAAGGCTCCACAAAGTCAGCCGACAAGGTAACCTGCAAACAGCGAGCCCTATGAGTCTGGATCAAGCTGGCTGACAGTATTTTACTATGATAGCTAGCTTGCAATACGGCAGCTAACAGCCCAATCAGGCAATATGTTCCACTAGCTTAGCATTAATGTTAGGCTTTATATTTCTTCTTCTTCTTGAGCGTTTATTAGTCGGCCTAGCTCTCTATTTAACGATTATAATGCAGTCTTCCACGTTGAATGCTCATAGTGGTAATTTCTGTGCTAATACTTTTGTCCAATCAACAGCTAATCTCATACGTAACCTTTAAACCACT